TGATCAAGCCATTTCAGAACATCTCGGTGAAAGGGTACAGGCGAGCAGGCGCAACCTGGCTCAGCCTCTTCAAGGGGCCTCCCCCTCCCCTCTCGTCCCCCCCCCTTTCGAGTGGCGCTCTGTAGTATAACCATCAAAGGGATCGATCGGTTAATAGGTCCAACGTCAGCTTAAGTTCGATAGATTTCACTGATTTTTTTCAAGCTAATTTAGATTTTGTATATTTCAAGGGATGCGGACCGGATCTGTTGCACTCTAGAGCCTATCGGTCCATTCAAATAGCATGCCGCAATCAGCCGTCTACTGTGATTGCCGCCTTCGAAGGAATACAGGTGGGTCCCGAGGCGAAATCCTTGTTGAAACCCTAAACATTTCGTTCAGAGTGTCCCAGAGGCAAATTTTATCTCCTTAAGATTTGTCAGTAGAGGATTTTGCAAAGTTCATTAATTGGGAAACGATCAATAAATATGATCGATATCGATACTGTTTGCAGGACGCCATGTCTCAGTGCGCCGATCGAATGCGCTTTCAACAATGGGACTGTACCAACGTCGGGCATATAATGCACGATCCACCGATATTGAAATACGGTTAGTGTAAAATATACGTATTGATTAATAGTGCTTGGAGGAAGAAAGGTGGGCGGACTCATTTGATAGGTAGCGAAGGACTATGTGTCACTAATGAACTGAGACTACAGTGACTTAAAGACACATTTCGCGGTCATGGAATGGGCGAGAAATGGGTGGAGACCCATGATCGCTGTCTTCTTCGTTGGCGCGGTCCTTCCCTTCATCGTATAAGAAGGAGACTCGAGCCAATGAGGAAGGCACAAGGGTCGTGAGTCCCCGCCCATGAGGCTACCGCGGAATATGCCTTTGAGGCAACTCTGAAAAAACTATTTCCGCTGCGGTGCGAGTACGCAGAGAATCTGATTTCTCTGAAGGTGAGCAGCATTTCTGCGTCATCGTAGCTATGCAGGCCGCCTGGAGGCCCATTTCACGTTGGCCGCATGGGCGGAGCAGGGCCTAACATTGGGCCTTTCCGACTCAAAGTCGAGTTGAACGCTCACCTCCAAAAATCCTGGTTCTTGCCATGTGTGCGGAGAATGGGTCGCTTGTCACAATCTCTGGTCGAAAGTGCACGGGAACAGGGAGAGCGTAGTGATGCCCAGATGCCAATTCCGTACTCCACCCCCGCTGTCGCACGACCGTCCAGGCGCCTTGCTGTAGCCACACGCGCTATTTGTCTGCGTTCTCTCACTTCTGATTACCATCTACCGCTGAGCTCGCGAGGCCTCAGCATTGGTGCAAGCTCTCTACCTTGTGGATAGCGCGGGCGGAGTGTCAAAACAGCACTCGGCCACCCCTACTCTAGGGCCCCGTTCCGTGCACCTTTGAGCGTTGAAAGTAGCACGCTACTCTAGATGCCGACCCATTCGCCTCGCACGACCTCACCCTGAAGTGTGAGTTAGTGGTTTGATTTCCGATAAAATGCTTGAAAAGATGTATTTATGCACTTAGCAAATCGTCAGTAATATTTATGCAGTTCCTTTTCTGATTTTACTGCGTTGTCAACCATTTTGAAAACAGGAAATTCTTTGAGCACCTCTTTACGGTCATCCTCTTCCATGCTATCCCAAAACCGCTTCAGTCTGAAATTAGGATTATTTATGGCATCAAACCACATTTCGTTCAGGAGAGGCCTACCTGTCCAGTACTTCGGATCTCGTCACAATACCGTAACCCAACGACTCAAGTTCTGTCTGCGTCTGAAAAATGTCCTTGATTCACGAGTACAGGCAGCCCCGCGTTCATTTGATATTCACGCGCCTTCTTTGGATATTGTAGTCCTGCCTGCAAGCATTGAAGATGTACTGGTTTCGCAGAGGAGAGCGTGACCCAATCGCGATGAGCCCACTGCCCGCCATTGGCTGCAACACGCCAGCTTCCATTTTCACAGCTCCCTGGTTTTGTTCATCTGCTAGCCCTCTGCAATTGGAATGGGGAGATTGAGGGTGGAGAAAGAGCTGGCAGCAAAAATGAGAACTTGTCCGACCACCCCCTCTCTTGACCTTGTGCATGTACAAGCGCGGTTGGCATGGGATTCTATACGGGGAATTTTGAGCGGATTTCCTGTGTTATTTACTATCTTCTCTTTGGTATTTCAGCCGCATAAATTACCGTATCTAAACACGTGGTGTGCCTTCAAGTTCAAATGTCCGTAGCCTCAGGCTGAAACGACCGCTCATGGCGCACGCATGCTTACGAATAAAGTAGAGTTTCGCGTATGGCGGGTTTGAAAATGAAATGACGAGCATGGTGGCGTGCGGTATGTGACAAGATCATCGTGATATGCCGCGTTTTTGGGCGTGGCGAGCGGCACCGCGATCCATGGACGAGCTGTCCTGCCCGGCCGTTTGAACTTGAGTGTTGCAGGGATGGGAAGATCTGGTGTCGCCGGTGCAGGTCATGTCTCCGTTGACTCTATATGGTTACGCTACGTATCCCTTTTGACGAACTACGCCCACGATCGAGATTGCGCGCGCGGCTACGATTGACCGAGTGGGCGGCCGACGCCACAAATCATGATTGTCTTGTCCGTGTCCCGTTGGCGTGTTGGTTTTTTGCGCGGTTTTCCTCCAGTAGCTGACTGATATGACCACTGGGAGGGACCGACTGTTACGGCTCCCTTCATCCACTATGAGCGAACTTACATGCCAGAGAATCAAGTAGGCATCGCTGCCCATGACCTCGGACTCTTCGATGTACTTATTCAGCTTCTTTAACAAGTCATTACCGTCTGATTGCAGCTGAAAGTGGCTCAAATTACGGTAGAGAGTAGCACGCCATTGCCTGCTACTGCAAACGCGCTCACCTTTTTTGCTGGCGAGTCCCAGGGCGCTTTTTGAATCTCTTGGACAGTGTGCCCAACGAACTCCTTGGCAAACTCGTCCAGGAAGTCATCTGTAACATGGCAAGCTACAACTTAGAACGCAATCAACTTAGTAATATCAAAACGAACCTGGACCAGGTTTTTCAACGACTATCTCATCCTCCTCTTCCTGATCAAGTTTTTCTTGTGGCTCCTCCACTTTTGTACCGTTTTCTGGTGGCTCCTGCTCTGTAAGATTTTTGTTAATCTGCTCCTGTTTTTGAAGTTTTTCGTTTGTCTGCTTCTCTTTTGAGGGCTGCTCGCTTGATGAAAGTGGCTGCACCTGCTTTTTAGGTATTTTCGGTGGCTGTTTCTCTGTTACAAGATTTTCCGGATTTGGCTTCAACTCCAGTTCTTCCATTTGTTTTTGTTCTGGCGTCATTTCTTCTTCCAATTCTTGAGGTGTCAGTGACTCCGGAGGTATAAGCAAAGGGTCAAGCTCGAGCGAGAGTATCATATACCCTTCGAGGACCAGGACCAATCCGATGAGTGGCTTCATGACGCCAGGCAGATGTTAGAATGGTGCAAACCACCATTCACACACCTTTTGTATGGTTCATTATCAGTACCTTCGATTCGCAAACGTGATAACAAACAAGTCGTTCATTCGGTGTTAACAACGCGGTAGTGTTGTTAAGAGTGCTTTCATATCGGATTCAAAAGTCCTCCGACATTATGATCGAAGGGAGACGGACAAGACAATCGTAATTTGTCGCCTCGCCGCGCAGCCGTGCGCGGATGGGCGTCAGTTTATCGAGTGGAGCAGCGAAATTGTAAATTTTAACAACAAAACTACATGAAGTGCGATATCGGCTTCTCATCTTCCTTTAGCTCTCGTTTTTAAACGGCGAGCCAGGACAGCTTGCCTGTCGGTGCTCTTGTCGCATACCTATGAAATTTTAAACCGGATATCTGTTTGTGAAACGCACCCTGTACTATTTTTTATTGTTTGAGTTCTATCTCTCGACTTTTCTGTGACGCGCCCATGATCGCTCGGAGGCTGCTTTCATACTTTGCGGCAGCATCCACTAGCGTCTACCAGCGTCCACCGGTGTTCACCCGGGATTGGGTGTAGAGTGTATGGGGAAGTAGAACTTGCGGCGGTTCCCCAGCAGCCGCCACCGTACAAAACTGGCTAAAGCCACCAGAATTGTGTGCCTGTGTTGTGTGTGTGTGGTGTTTGTGTCTGTGTGTGTTGTGTGTTGTGGTGTGTGTGTCGCTGTGTGGATTAATCTGTGTGTGTGTGGGCACCCCCTTTGCTGTGTGTGTATTTTGACCCGGAATTTCATACTTCTTCCTTCGAAATTGGCCATAGGGCCGAGTTTCATATTTGGTTTTAGGGATATAGGGGCTGCGACGTTAACATCAATTAGTGGGTGGGGCAGTGGGGTGGGACAGCTGAACAAAATGCAGACAAGGAGCCTGAAAGGGGCGGATGCTTTCCACTATAGTCATAAACTCGCGTCAGCGGCTTGGAACCCGGTTCGGGTAGAAAGTGATGTGAGGGGCCAGGTTTGCGGGGAACAACAATATTCGTGCTGGCAAGGAAGTGGTCCACAAAGCTGAACCAACGGCGCTGAGGAAAGGGAGTCGTAAAAGGGCGAAGGAATACCCAATCCATTAACTCGCTTTCCAACTTGCCAATTGTTGGGACGGTGCGTTTAAGAAAATGATGTGGGGCGGGGGCAGGTTCGGGAACATTATTGTGGTGTAAGCAGGAAGTGTAACAAACGGATACGGACACCAACAGGAGGCCCCAAAAGGGGGAGAATCTTCAAATTTTCATAACGAGCGTCCAGCAAGCCGTGGAAGTCGGTTTCAAAGAAGTATGATGCAGAGCCAGGAATGGGAACATTTTATGTGTGCGTTGGCACGCAGTGATAAAACAGTTGAGAAGATACCCAACAGCGGGGACCACACAAGAAAGGAAGCTTCCTTAGACAACCAATTCTGGGCTGACAAGTTTCTGAGCAACAGTGGTAGGACTGCCTATTTTGAAACAGTTATTCAATTGATTGCAGAGAACATTTGAGGATTGTTAGAGAACATTGGCGGTGGGAAATAGGTTGTGATATAGTGTCCATATGTTTATGTCCCTTAGCGACACAGTTGAAACTGTTTTGACCGCTATACTCTCGCGTTTCGACAAAAAGTGGAAGTCTGATATGGTGCCCAAATTGAGGGAGCGGATAAGAGTCACCGGCACAGGGTTAGAATACGTGGGAAACGCCTTACCGTTGTCTGGCGGTAGCAACTTTAGCGATGTTAATTCGGCATTCAACGACCATCTCCAAAAAAATACTGGTTACCATCGAAATTCTCTTGGACCGCAGAAGGGCTGCACCGGGTATTCCAACGGCGAAGATGCAGGTGATTGGGTCAAAAGGGGCGATAAGCACGACGGTCAGCACAGGAGAATCATTCAAGTGACCCAGTAGCCTACTAAGATTTAGCCATGCGCGGGCCAGTTAAGTGTTGCGGTCAGCCTCAAACTGGCCACAAATTCAATGCACAGTTATAGCTTTACGATACGGTTATTGCACCACTCCGCCGGGATTTTCGTGGACGACTAATCCGGCTGGTTTGCACCCTCTACTTTCCCATACTCTCTACTCCTATCGCCTGCCGACGGGAACGCCGCACTAGATTGATACCTTACCCTTCCAACTTCGAGGGGACGTTGCTTGGTCCGGGGCTGGCGCGGGACGGCTGGGTAGACCGCTGCATCGGACCGGCTGCCGGCATAAGGTCTTGAACGCAGGCCTAAGCAGCGGTTCAGACTTCGTGAGTAACGGCGATATATTAGCACGTTGTCACGCACACTGCTAATAGGCGGGTGAGCCCGCATTGCAAATTTGTTGAGTTATGCCGCTGCTATAGTTATAACTAGGTAGAAAAAAATCCAGTTGTGAAGAAAGATTAAAATTCGTAGGAAAGGCCCTATAGGACCGAATGCTTAAAACTGGAGGGTCGGTACGTGCCTTAAGGTCCGGAGAGAAAGGGCGGTCGCCACGAGTGCCTCAACTTGATTAGGTTTGATATTCAGCTGTTTTACCCTTACTACACATCCACCGCTGACACTCGAACTTTGGAGTAGGAGCAGCAGCGAGACAACCGCGGCAATCAGGCAAAACTTAGAAAATGAAGATGGGCGTTCGGCGTTTCGTTCTGTGGGCGGAGCGAGCAACTCCTCACTAGCGGACAGCGCTATCCTTCGGGCTCTTTGAGGTGCGAAACTAGTACATTTACAGGAAGGGCTGTCCAGAACGAGGGTGTTGGAAAACCATCAAATTGGAAATGTGCGGGCACGCCTTCCAACGAAGGCGCTCCTATTGTACTGTTTTTCGCCATACTCTGCGGTTGCTTTGCCGTCCATTCAAATAGACCTGGTCGATGGCTGGCGATGCAATCTAGAGCAATTGGAGCACGGTTGCAAATTGCCTAGCGATACGACGCGGAACATCTGAACGCTACCTCAGTGAATGCAAACGGTCCATCAATCAGCAGTGGAGCGCGCTGGATTACTGTCTATCGACATGGGCGCTAGAAGCGAGTAAATCACTTACTCAGTATTACAGTAATTAAGGTTCACTCCGAAAAAAACTACGCTTCACCACGAGCGAATTTTTGGTCGCAAAATATTTGAACCACGTTGTTGACATTGATCATAGAGGAGGATGCAGTGTCCCCTTCGTGCAATCTCCTATCTTGCTTCTGCAATCTTGCTTGATTACAAGCATGAACTTAGGGCTAGTGAAGGAATGTTTGGGGAGAGAGGTAGTCTGGAATGTGGAAGACATTGGCAAGAATATGCTCCCCAGGTTATTTTTTTCAGGATACCGAGAATCCGCGCTGATCTGGGCGTTATCGTCAGCAGGTGCCGCATGGGGAGTGGCTACAGCATGCGCTCAAGGCTGGATCGACGACTGTTCGTGTGTGCATGACGGACAACCGGGTTGGGAATATGGCGGGTAGGTGATTCAGTCAATTTGAAAGAGCATCTCTTTACGAATTTATCAGATTCCAGCTGTTCATACAGCGTACAGCATGGAATTACGGCTAGTCGTAAGCTTCTCACTAGAACACCGATAGTTCGGTCACCATTGAGAAGCGTAGAGAAGCACAACCTGAAAGCTGGTCGTCTGGTGAGTAGTACATATTTCATTACTATCGCTTCTTAGCCCTCGATGTTCTATTGTTAGGCTGTGAAGAAGACCTTAATTGCATCCTGCAAATGCCATGGAGTGTCTGGATCATGTCAACAGAAGACCTGCTGGAAGAAGACAGCCACACTTGACCACATCGCTGACTATCTGGTGGAAAAGTGAGTACAAAACGATTACTTGAAGTGGAGATTGGAGCCATGGAACTTGGGGGGGGGATGGGAGTCACGCAGCGAAACCAGGCCGCGCCCACTTCGTTCTTTTGCGCTGTCTGGGGTTGAGCTGGTTGGAAAGAAGGTGTTCGCTAGGCGAGCACCGCAACGGTGAGAGGACGTGGACGGACAGGAATATTCGCGCCGCCGCTATCTCCTTCCCCACTCATTCCCGCAGGATCATATTCCATCTCAACTCTGCATTCTGGAGAAGAGCTGTGTGTAGGACTGACTCTCTCGCTTAAACCCTGAAAAGAAAGGGATCGTGCCGTGATAATCACAGTTTTGGCGATGAGTATCTTATGGACCGAAGGCTAACACTCTTGTCTCTATGAACTGACATAAAGTTTGAGTAGTATTTGGAGGGGTTCACCCTTCAGTGATAAGGCGACCACGAGAACATAGGCGTCTGCATACTTCCTCTCTGTCCTAGGCAGTGACTACTTGAAACAGTACAGTACCGAGTACTTGAACGAGTACAGTACAGTACCGAGTACTTGAAACAACTTTGGACCTTTTCTAGGTATGCTCGTTCAAAAATGCTATCACCTGATCAGAAAGCAAAAAACGCCGACCTGGTGTTCATCGAACCGTCACCGGATCCGTGTCTCCAAATGGTATCAATCTTTATTATTTGTTTCTTGTCATTCACTATCCCCCCCCCCTTATCGCGCATATGCTTGCTCCTTCCTGTTTGGCGCTG